GAGGCAGGGGTGGGGGGGCCGTTTGCAGTCAAAGTTTATACAATGCAATAATTTAATTAAAAAAAAATAAAAAGAAACGTAAGGGCCAGTGTATAAAGATTATACCAGCATTAATAGTGAAAATATTGTGTATTAGATATAATTCTGCAATATTCTATGTATATATAATTTACAGGTAAGGTGGTGTAAAAATCCAAGATATCTGATTATAAAATATTTTTTTGTTGTTGTTGTTGGTTTTGGTTTCGGGGCTTTGGGCTTGTTGTTTGGTTTCGTTGGTTTTTTTTGGATTTTTTTTTTTTTTTTGGTTGTAAGAAGTTTTAGATGCTATCTTTAAGATTTTTTTTAAAGCTTAAGTTACTTTTTTATAGACTTAAGCGCAGTTTTAATGGACATTGGACGCTGTTTTTTGAAATTCAAAAAAAAAAAATTAAAAACAACTTTTGCTGAAGTCCAAAGATTTTTATTGCTGCATTTCACACGACTGTGAACCGAATAAATAGTTCTCCTATTTAATTTTTTTTTTTTTTCTGGAGTTGGGGTGTCTGGGGCTGATTTTGGGGATAGACGAGGAGAATTTAATTTTAAAATAAGGAAAAGATATAAGTAGCGTTAGGGAAACAAATCTCGAAGCACCGTCTTGAAACAAACCCGGGGTCCTTCCCTGATCCTCTCTGCTCCTTCACCACCGCCAAGGAGAGCCACGGGCGCCCGTGGCTGCGGAAGGCAGGCGTGGATGCTGGGTAGAGATGGGGTTAGCACCCCCCTTCCCCCTCCAGCTCCTCGGGATAACTTGGGGAGCCCCATCTCCCAAAAGCGGGATGCTGCTCCCTCACTGCCCCGCCGTCCCGCCGCGGAGGGCAGCGAGGGATGGGACCCGGCTCTGCTCCGGCATCACCTCCCCGAAACATTTGGGAGCGTTTTAGCCCCCCCTTTCCCCCAAAAGTCCCATTTTTAGTTGTTCCTCCCCCTCCGCAGCGCGGTCCCCACCAGCGCCACGCTCCGTGGGTGGGTGTTTGTCCCCACACCCCCTTCCTCACGCACGCACCTCCCTGAAATCGGAGTTTTTGGGCGTCCGAGGCGCTGTGCTGCGTTGAACCCGTTTGTCCCGGAGCGTGGGGTCCCTGTCCCCGCTCCGGAGGGGGATTTGTCCCGCGTGGGGCTGGGTGTGCGTGGGCGGCTGCTCAGGAACGGATTCTCCTGCGACGCTGTTTTTTTTTTTTTTTTTTTTTTTTTTTTTTGGGGGGGGGGGGAACTTCTCGCTTTGCCTTAAAACCTCTTTATTTTGCAGCTCTAATAGATACACACTGTACATAGTAGTATAAAATTTAAAAAAAGGAGGAAAAAAAAAGGAGAAAAAAAAAGGAAGGAAAGAACCCAGCTATAAAATAAAAACTGTAATTTTAAATTCTGTGAATAACCATCAGCTGCTTAGGGGCCAGGATTAAATGACTTCGCCTTTTAGCAAGAAAGCAAAGGATTTTTTTTCTTCTCTCCAGTTTATAAAACATGTGCATTTTACAATTGCAGTATCAAATATTTATAATCGGATGAAATATGAATGTTTCTATTTACAACTGTGTTCTCAACATTGTGAACATTCTCGCTGCATTTTGTGTGTTTCGATTCTCGAGGACTGCATTAAATAATAATAATTAAAAAAAAAAAAAACACCAAAGAACACACTTTATTACGAAATGCAACCCGTGTCACTCAGACGTTACAATGGAGCTATTCGGGAATATATATCCCTAAATGTTCATACAGCCTTCAGACCGCACTTCTGAGCGTTGGAGCTGGAATTAGAAGTATGTCGTAGTTTTAATTCTTTACAGGGGTGTGTGGTGGGGTAAAATGCGTGGCGATTTATGAGAGAGGTGGTTTTGCAGCCAGGCGTTTCATCAGCCTTTTGACTTAATGAGGAAACTTTGGGGGATTCATTCCTAGGCTGAAGGAGAGGACGAACGCCAGTCGGCACCGAGCCCCTCTCGGGCACTCCTCCTCCCGCTCAAAAGGAGCTGAAAACGGAAAGGAAAATCTCTTTAATCTCACGTACTGTCAACAGGTTTCACCTTTTCAAGACTTTAAATACCCGGTGGTGTGATGCTCTGACAGGCTGCGTTTGGAAAAGCTCTGCTAGGAAAACACGTAACCCTGGAGCTCGGGAAGAGGGGATGGAATATTGCCGATGCCACGCCACGAAACCAGGCACCCTGTAAAATACTTGGCAGCCCCGGGAAATGACAGTACCACGATTTTAGGACAGGCTGGACAAAAATAAAACGATCATCCGCCTTGCTGCGACAAAGGGCACAAGAGCTCCGAAATAGCTTTCGGCAGTCAGGAGAGGGAGGAAGGGCAGAGCCTCACTCACCATCAGGGTCCTGCTGCAGGGGACGCGTTCCCAGATAAAAACAAGGAGAATGTGGGGGGGAGGGGGACGCGAGGGGCAAGTATATTTAAAATTTTATTTTGTACCTTATTTTTCTCAAGCTGCTACTTTGGGATAAATTCTGCAAGGGGCAAAATTCTCCAGGAGCGGAGCGGCCGCTGGGACAGTGCACCAAGGGCTTCACCTGCCCGGAGGACCTGGGACCAGGGCTGAGTGCGGGGATGCTGCCAGGATACTGTGGGCTCCTGCTTTCCATCTTGCTTTATTTCCCCAGCCTCTCTGGTTTGCGTGCTTTTGAGATACATATATATTTATTTATTTCCTTTTTTTTTTGTCACCTCCATTAATGGAGGCAGGTGATTTATAATCCCTTGGGAGAAAATCGATGGCAGTGGACGCTTAAGAAGAGTTTTAAATCTGGTTTGAAAAATAGCTTCCGTTGTGCGACTGTACAAAATGGCACCGTGGGTGTGTTACACGAGGATGGCTGAGTCCCATGGAGATATTATTTGTATTTTTTAAGGAAGTCACTAAACATGCAGTGGGAGAAAAATTGGCCCTGCTCCTAAGAGTGCAGACAGAAGTGGAGTTTCCACCTGTCCTCACCCAGCCTGGTAAGAAAAGCTGGGAGCAGAAAACAGATGTGTGACAGCAGCAGGAATATGTAGTTTTAGGTTAAAAAAAAAAAAATAGTAGTGAAACTTCTTCGAGCTAGTCCAGTCTGTGGAGCAAGCACAGACACTATCTCGCTGCTGCTTGGATTTTATCCAGGCCTGAACACAAAATATTTGCCATTGGTAAGCTGTGCCTTGAGTGGGAGCAGCGAGTTCCTCACACGGGCCGTACTTCTCACCTGCCTCGGATATTTTGGGGAGGCGCAGGTCCGGAGGGACTCGCTCCGCTGCTGCCTTGGCCAGCCTGGAGCGGCTGCTGCTCCCCGTGCGCCGGCCAGGACGCGCTCCCACGGCCGGGCAGCGGCTCCCCGCTGGCTCGGGAAGGACCGCACTGCTGAATTAGCCCTCGATAATGTAAAATGTGCAATTATTTGAACAGGAGGAGCTGCTGCACAAGCTCCTTTTGCAATTTTAGCAGAGCAACAAGCCCTTTCTCAAGCAGCCTTTTTTTTTGTTTTGGAAAAGGCAGAATCCCAACCCACAACGGCCCCGAAGCCGGGCCACAGCCTCCCCCAAAATCCGGCTGCTCCGGGACCAGGGTAGAGGCAGGACTGGCCCTGGAGTCACACGGCTGGCAGCGTTTTTATCCTGGCAGGCAGCTCTGCCTGAGATTTCCCTCCTCCATCTAGCGGGGCAGGCTCCTTTCCCTCCAGCCAGGGCAGCGGAGTTCAGTTAAAAAAAAGTCTAATAAAAAGGAAAAAAAACCCCAAACTAACTAATCAAACGAAAAAACCAACCCAGGAAAGTATTTCAGGGCTGAACAAAAATACATCTGCACTTGCCCGCGCCAGCCAGCCCCTCCGTGTAATTAATTAAGCGTATTTTTCCCGTAACTCTGTTCAATGAGCATCTGAGCTCGGAGGTTTAGTGAAGGTGTTCCTCCGCTCCGCTCCCTGCTAACGCAGGATGTGGCACATGCATTGTACAAACCCACACCCAGGCACGATGTATGCAAATGCCCGCGCCATTGATTGTGAAATGCATATCAGAGTTAGAGGGGGAAACTATTTAGCTAGCTCGGGTTTGTGGAGGAAAAAAAAAAAAAAAAAAAGTAATTCTGTATCCCGCTGATTTAATATCCGACCGCCACATTCAATCCCCGCCCATGCAGCTATCAAAAGTACCCCTGGGATGTTTGGATATCATCTCCAAACTAACATCTGTGATTATGAAACGCTCAGAAGGGGAAGGTTAATAACAATTTGTTTCAAAGGGCCACGAGTCAATTTTATAAACAAATTCGCGTCGACTTAAAAACAAACAAACAAACAAGCAAGCAGCGTGGAGGTTGGCACCCACGGGCAGGGGCCGGACCGGGATGCTCGGGGCAGGATTTGTGCCCGCTTCCCGCAGGGATGGAGCCGAGGCAGCCTGGGACGGGCCCTGGAGCAGCAGCCAGGGGTGGTGGGGTGTGCAGGGGGAGAAGTTTGTGCTGTGACATCCCGGGGATGCTCCGTGACTGCCGCAGAAAGGCACCCAGAGCCATTTGGGAAGCGTAAGGTAGTGCCGGGTGTCTGTACCGAAAGTTGGGACAGTCCCTGACAGCGGAGCTGGGCTCTGTGGAGTAGGAGAGGGGGCAGGTCCGGACTGTGCAGGGCTGGGGAGGGGTATCCATGCCCTGGGCTCACCCCTCACACACACCGAGACCAGCCTTGCAGCTAAATCCAGCACTAGCTCGCCCTCAGTCTGCTCTGGCGCTTATTTTGGGACCCTTGGCAAACTCAGGCGAGGCTGGCGGCCAAAGCCTGGCCCCAGCACCGGGAATAAGTGGCCTGGTTGAGCCCAGGCAGGAAAAGACGACAGAGCCGGCAGCTCCAGCGCCAGGTACGCCTGGAGCCCGGCGGCAGCTCCTCGCCTGCTGCCCTCCCCTGCCCTCCCCTGCCACCCTGTCCCCTGCCCTCCCCTGCCAC